TGGAGCCCATAGCTACGGATACAATATTAAACGTCACAATAACAATGGATACTACTATTCCTATTACAACAACATCAAACGGTGTAACAACAACGGCCAGTACAATCACTAGTGCAACCCCATCAACTGACATAATTAGTGCTACAGCATTTTATGACACAACAATAAGTGAAACTGTACCGATGTCATCTGCAACAATATCAAGTTCCTCGACAAGTATCAGTAGTTTCATTAGAAAAAATGTTATAAAAAAAAAGAATATATATGTTTAGATAGTGAAACATTGACTATGAATTATGATTCAAGCATTCATATGGTCATGAATACAGACGAAACTCTAAGTTCAACTTCTTTTGTTTCAAGTATATCTGTGTTTACAACATCAGGTATACACTATTAGCTTTCAAAATCATGATAGAATTTCGGATTAGTATAGAAATGAAATTTAAAAGTAAAGTTAGACACGCATCGTAATTCTGGAAAAAGGAAATAGTATACATTCTCGATCGATAAAATTTTACAAGTCAAAGTTCTAATATTTGTAGTATGCTACAGAGGATGTCTGGAAATCAGTTTTGGTGATTTTTTACTTTTGAAGTTTCATAATAGCTCAAACTATGTGAGTAAGTTTTTTTCACATATGGTATTTTCTATCTTCTAAACATGTCAAGCTAAAACCTTTCAAGACGAATCAATCGTGCTTCCAAAAGAAAAAATAAACTATTATAATCTATTTCTATGACTCAATTATTTCGACTTTTTTGTTCAAATATGGAATCTCAAATGATGAAATTCTGCATGTCTAATAGTCTTTTTGATGCAAGAAATACTTGACAGTTTTCTATCCCAACTTAATATCATTATAGGTACATGTAATATTGTTTTTGATTTCGTATTATAGCTTCAATAATATCATCAGTGAGTGTGCCATCCGAAACTCTTTCAACAACTGCAATGACAATCAGTGATCCTTGTCTAAGTAAATGATATTAATAATTATGAAACATACATCGAATTTCTATGTATATTTATCTATATGTATAATAATAGGTACAATGATGGATTTAGCATATATATCAACTTTTTCTTTTGACCCAAATACTGAAAGTAGGTTTATGGTTCTCTGTTTTAAAGAAATACATATCTAATTCGACTCTCTAATGTATTAAGACCCAATATCTACTTCTTCTATGACTAATGACTTAATGATGGATAGTACCGGTTCAACTTCAACGAATTTCGATGTTACGGATTCATCTGACCCATGTAAATATGTTTTGATTGTATTTATTTTTAGAAATAAAATTTTTCTTCTCTTTGTTATTCAGGTGCAATATATTGGACAAGTTCGACAATTCATACAATAACTGAAACTACGACATTCTAAACATGCACAACTGTACGTAGAATCAACCGAACTCAAATGTAACATTGACAATTAACCATTTATTAAATAAACTTCATACAGCATTAAAAAAAAGTAACTTATATTATTGTCTAAATTTTTCTAAAGAACGAAAATCTAATGCATTCAACATAGTTGACAGATGGTGTTTCATTATTTTTCCACTTTTTTTTTTATATCAAATCACTGCTTCTTCTCGTCTTTCCTCCTGTGATATAATTGTGCCCATACACATTTATTATTAATCAAGTATTCATGCTTATATTATGTCTATGTAATTGTGTTGTATTCGTTAAATAAATTTATATGTTGCCAGAAAAAAAAAATACCGATAGCCAGTTATATGGCTGTTATGTTTTCTTTCTCATTGAACAGATGTTGTCGCCAACTTGTTCATTGCACGTTCTCACATCGCAACTCCGGAAGAAGAGATATATGTTGGATGACCTCTCTGTGTCTAAGCATAAAAAAAAGAATAAGAGAGGAAAGAAATTTGAGCATACATTTTCTCTCTTTCTCTGATGCATATGTGTTCGAACTGATGACGGATGTCTGCACAGTGAATGAACAATAGATTTTTGAGTGAGGAAAAAAAAAAACTCGAAACCAAGAACGATAGATGGAAGCTATTCAAAGTTAAGACTATATGCGTAAGTGTTCTCATTCGATTTTGTTGATCTTCTTTAAAATCACAATGTTTGTATTATTTCAATAGTCAAATTCGATTGTTCGTGTTAAGAGTTGAAGAAGGTAAGAAACTTCACAAATGCTATATATGGGTACATGTACGCTGATGAATAAAATTTGTCCTCATCTCATACTTCGATAAAATAGAATATTCACATATACGTAGATAAAAAAAGCCTTGATTCTTTCACCGATCGAGTTAATTAGCTTTCTGTTACTTAGTTAGTTAGTTAGTTAGTTGGACGACCTCATGTAAATGTGTACTCGTTAACAATGAACGATGATGGTTGAAAGGAAGAGTCGCACAAGAGGGGGCAATACATATATTCATACATATATGAACGGAAGAGGACGCGCGTGTGTTTCAAAGACAAACACATGAGTTAGTTGTTCAATTGTGGAATGAACGAAAGGCATTTGTACAGATGTCTGATGATGCTTGCTCGTTACTCTAATGATTATAACTCTCTTTACTCTGTGTTCATCGCCTCTGGCTTCTAAATAAACGACAACATCATCCATTTTCTGAGTATGAATGAAAATAAAAATAAAAAAGGTACCATTCTAGACTTTGACAATAAAGTTCATATCTATACCTAGCAGCAGTAATAACTAATCAACCAATGTCCAAATATAATCCGTCCCTGATCACATGCATGGACGATGTATACTGTATATTAATCCTCTGTCTGTCGTCTGTTAAAGCCGAATGAGATTGTCTGTTTTTTTTCTAATTGTACACAGCAGTAGAGCTCAACTTTAGAAATTTCCAATAAATGATGGTAAGACACTTATTGTATGAATATGTCAGTGAAGCGTAGAGAATTCTTTTTTTTTTAATTCACATATAACTACATGTTAGTAACAATCAAATCTATTCTATTAAGGTAATGAAAATAATGTCTATCCTTAGAGGATGAATGTATGAAAGTAAAATCTGAATAGCAGAAAAAAGTAATCTTGTACTCTCTTTATCAACAGACTCTTTATATTATAAATATAAATATACATATTATTACTGATAAGGTAAAATAAATTTTAAGCGATGTTCATTTGTTTACAAAACGAATATTGAATGAATGATGTTCTCATATATCTTTACTAAAAGATAATCAATCCACTTGAGTGATGATTCATTCAATAATTAGGAAAAGGTCATCAGTTGATTGTTTTTCCTTGAGATCATATATATCGTTCATTCATTATTTTATATATATATATATGCATGACTGTCTGTCTATTCCTCACGTTCTAATTGCATGTGACGATGCGCTTTGTTCATAAGGTGTATGCATGTCCATTCATTGTATATGTATATTAGCCATGCGAACTTTTTTTTTTTTAATCAACCAACTAAGTATCGTCGTCAGAGTGGTGCTCGTCGATCAACGACGGTGAGAACAATCGTCATCATCATCGTTCTCTATCACTCGAGTTACCCACTTGAGCACCCTCTCTTCTTTCTCGTACTCTTCGTTTGTAGATGGCCTAATAATACTCGATATATGTGTACGTACAGTCTATTCACTATAAAAGCAACAGCTGACCCCTTTGGGCCATCTCTTTCTTCTTTTTTATTCTTCCTTGTCGTGCATTCACACGTCAAAATTCGGCTCATGAACATTCTAATTTGTAACAATACATACGAGTCTCAATAGACAATATAATCGAAAAGTAGTTGACCGTAAATCCGAGAGACAGATGAAACCATAATCATCAAAATGAGAAGTAAATGTCATCTGCCATTGCGTTTTCTATGACTTTAAAAAAAAAGAAAAGGAAAACCATCTTTTTTGTTTTGTTTCTTAACACGTATATTGCATTGCATTCGGGTGCAGTGAACACATGTGTCAGTCTTTACAACTAGAAAAAAAAAAGACGATGCATTGTTACATCACTGCATGTATATCAATAAAAAAAGAAAGAGACAGATAGATATATATATATATGGTCGATGTCTTCTCATCGACGTCAATTTCAATAAGACTACTAATCAACGAAACTCTATAATGTGACGCAAATAAAATGCATTTGCTTTTACTATTCTAATTATTAGCACTCAATAGTGCAACTATTATAGTTAACTAATAGAAAAAGAAAAACTTTATTCAATAAAATAACATTTCTTCGTTTCTCTTTTCTTTGCTTACTAACGATCTTTGATCGTGTCAAGGTCTGTTTGTTCCGGTTTGAATAATCCGCCTTCTCTATCGCTCTCGTTGATTTTTTCTTCATTGACAAAAATTCAATTTATTTGCTAAACACATGCTTGTGTCGGTCATCATGGGAAAGCTTCGAGCTGCTATTCTTTACATATAAAAGGTTATTCTCTCAGTTAGTATCACTGCTACTTCTTCGTCTTCTTTTTCTATGTTCATGTGCTACAAGTCATTCTTTTCCGGTTGGTCTTGATGGTAGTTGTTATTATCCTCCTTCTATGCTTCTTGTTCTTCTTCTTTTTTTTTTATCTCCGCCGTTTCTGATGACGATTATCGACGACTAATTGTATATGGATGTGAGCGTGAAGCAGAGGGAGAGAGAGAGAGGAAGAGAAAAAAGAAAAAAGCACACCCAACATAGCTGTTCATCGACTAAAAGAAGAAGAAGAAGAAAGCTGCGTGCGTCCACTACTATCACCGACCGTGTCGGGGTGTTGTTCACACGCAAAGTACGGTAAAGATTTTCTCTTCTTTCTAGTTAGTCATTGTCGTTTTTTTCATTCATCTCATTCATACACCTTTTCAAATATACATGTTCATCTAATTATAAAGTTGCACACATAATATGACAATGATGTAATGCTTATCATGAAAAAGTTTGTCTATTGACTTTGAAATATAGACTACTGCATTTCACTAATCAAGCATGACGATGTGTCTGTCTATCTCGTCATTTTTTTTCTCTCATCATCTATCGTCATAAAATTGACTTTTTATATTTCCTTCTCTTTTTTGTTAGATGTCGACTCGAGTTCATCTCAACACGCATGAAAGCAACTTATAGTACATCTATCATCTGACCAGTCAGCGGCATTCTGCTATACGAAATAAAAATCTATGACGATAATCAACCATCCATCATATTTTAGTTTAGACAACCCCCTATACACACGCCATGCATAGAACTATGTAGTCATCAATCTGTGAGTGATGAAGATGTCGACTTAATAACGAGTTTCGTGCTTGATCGAACACTCTCTACCTATAATGATGCACTCTCATCGTTTTCTTTTTCATTTTTTTCTCTTTATACTATTTCTTCTTCATCATCGTTTTTCTCTAAACATAGAAGCAGTGTGTAAGTATCTATGAACTATGAAATGAAACAGATAAATTCCGGTGTGTGTGTGTTTGAAAGAACAAGAAAATAACTTTCTGTTTGTTAGTGTCAAGGTATCGTATTTATTCACATCGTTGTCATTGAAACATCAAAAAAAAAATATAAACATAACTTATATAAATAGAACTTGTTCTCATATTTTTCTTTCTTGTTTTTTTGTATCGATCAATTGTCATTTCTTTTTTCTTCTTTCTGTGTACATCATGTAAATATTATTTATTTGAGAAATACATAATACTATTGCTTTCGATCGTGGTGATGAAATGAACGTGACTTTCCAATTGATCAACGAGTTTTCTTTCTTTCGCTTGTCTATTCATACGAGTTTGTGCGTCTTATTGACAAGCGAGAAAGCTTCAACAACATCGGCATCAGTTCAATCATAAGCATGTTGCATGTCTTGACGTGTGTGTGTGTGTACGCGTACATTTTTGCGATAACGCTTATTGTTATTACCCCTGTTGATATATATATATATATACGCTTGCGCGGACATTCTTCATCTTTCTTTTTTTCTCTTTTTTTGCTTTTTCATGTTTTCTAATTAAAAAACCGTTGTTTTATTGCTTGAGATGGAGTAGTAATAGTTCTTATGATTTAGTGTATGAAGAAAAGAAAAAAAAAGCAGATAAAAGAAGAAGAAGAAGAAGCAACAAATAAACCCTAAAGCAATCGACAATGTCTGTATGTGTGTGTTGAGCGCTCATGCTATATTCAACATGTTATCGCATCAAGACATTCCCATCTTTCTTTTTTGTTCTTGTTCGACATTATGCAAGTAACCTTTTCCCTACTGATGGTTAAATGGAGCCATACATATCATGCACCCCTACATATCCATCCCGTTGCTTTAACTAATGGCTCATCGATTTCTGTCTTCTTACACGATCATAATAATCAATCTGCTCTTTTCTAGATATGTCAGCATTGTAATATGAACAAAAAACCATAATGAA